GGCGCTGCTCACAGAGCAGCAGCATCCACTCCGCTTCCTGGAGCTCTGCTGCAGTAGTTTCCTGGGTGCTGGGGCTCGTCTGATGCTCACGGAGGCCTCTTCCTCTTCCGGTTGAGGAAATCGAGGCACAGAGAGGCTGAGCGAGTCACCGGGACCACACAGCAGGTGGGGGGAGAAGCTGGGGTTGGTGTGCGTCTGTGCTGGGCTCTGAGCCCCAACTTGGCCTACGCGCCTTGGAAAGCACTCTGCCTTCTGAGCCCCGAGGGTCTGTAGGTGCAAAGACCGCAGTCCCTGCCCTCGATGGACGTGTGTCTTGTGGAGGAGCCAGGCTTGATGAGGGAACAAACCATCCGGCGGATGGCCAGCTAGTGGCGGGTGCTCTGCAGCAGTGCACTAGGGAGTGGGGCAGCCCCGTCAGCTGGGGCCTGGGGGGTTTCTGTGAAGGATGATGTTTAGGCTGGAAGATGAATGGAGAAAGCTGAAGGAGAAAGCCCGCTGTAGTAGAGGCAGAGAAGGGTGTGGTGGGTAGAGGAAATAGCATGTACAAAGGCCCTGAGGCGAGACAGGCTATGGCAAACAAGTGCCAGTGTGCGCAAAAACTCCTGGGAAGAAAGTGGCACAGGCAGGAGCCAAGAGGCCAGGATCTGGGAGCAGGGTTGAAGTCATTGTAAACCAAGTTAAAGGCTTAGAGTTGTGACGGTTTTTCTGTGGTTGGCAGGGTTTTCGTAGTATTTAGGCTGTTCTGAGAATCCCTTTTCGGGGAATAACAGAGGGTACCTGCACCTCCCTGGCCTTACCACAGGATGACACTGTCCCAGCGCCCACCTGGGTCACCCAGCCTCCACGTCCCACTAGCTCCAGGCCTGTGCTATCACCCGGGGCCTTCTCTTCCCAGTGCCCACCCTGGCATCGCTGGCCAAGTCAGGGCTGGGCACTGGGGTCAGGGGCGGCACAGGCCACGTGGACAGAGCCAGGCGGGTAGGGAGTGCCTGGTGGTACACACGCCGGGGTGGGGACAGAGGCCGTCTGTGCCCACATCCCACCCACACAGCGCCCAGGAGTCCCGCAGACTGGGGCAGGCACCCTCTCAGGGCTTCAGTGAAGCCGCGCAGGCAGCAGGACTCGGGCCTGGACGCTGCCCCTGCTCCTTGGACACATTTCCCTGCTGCCTGGTGCCAGGCCGGGGCCCTGCCCTGCTCCGGCACAAACGTCTCACGATGGATTGCGGCACTGCCAGGCGGAGCGGCTGCCAGGGCCCTCCCTCTGCGGGTGGCAAGGGCCAAGCTGCCTGCCTCGGTGATAGGAGAGACCCCCATGAGGCGCCCCGCAATCCAGTCCTGACCTCAGCAGCCCAGCCTGGTGCCCAAGCAGGATGTGCCTGTGCTGTTTGTTAGGCTGAGACAGGCTGCTCTCCCTGGGCATCCTGTGTGCAGTGGTGGTGCAGTCTCCTTGCTTCTTGCTCCTTGCTCCACCCGGGAGTCCAGGAGACCGCTGGTCTCCGCTGAGTCACAGTGGCCGGAGGAAGCTGCAGAGGCTGCCTGAGGCTGCAGGGCGCCGGTGGCCCTGGAGGGAGGATGCCGTCCGCTGTCATCCTCCAGGAAGCGGCTCCTCTGCAGACCTTCCTGCCAGTGTCACTTGGACTTTGCTGTCCAGGAGCAGCTGTTTCTGGGTTCGCCTCCTAGTCCTTCCTGCTGCGGCTGCTGAAGAGAGAGCAAAATCTGAAGGCTTTCCATGCAGGAAGGCCAGTGGTGAAAGAATTGTCTTCTGCATGTTAGCAGACGATTGTTAGATGCATTAAATGTCCAAAACCTGGGAGACGGAGGGAGATGGGGAGAGGCCCGAGGCCGGACCCCAGGGAGCTTGGCATCTGCGGAGTGAAAGCACCAGTCTGCTGGGCGTCACGGCCACCGCCGCCACGTGGCCTCACAGACATCCCTGGTGTGCAGTGCGTCGTCCCCCAGCCAGGCCCAGTTCTCCAAACATGGCTCTCCAGGGCCCCAGCACCATCCCTTGGCGAGGACACTGGAGCCTGTGACAGTTCCTGGGTCTGTTTGTTCCGGGACCTTTGTCCTTTTCCTCCCAGCCTCCGGGCACTGCAGAGCTGCGGGGAAAGAGACTTGCAGAGGGAGAAAGCCGTCACCAGTCGGGTGCCCAGAAACCAGCCCCGGGAGCCACGTCCCTCGCTCAGTGTCACCCCAGCTCCACGAAGGACCCACGCCTGGACCCAGGCTCCCTGTCTGGCGCCACAGAGCTAGAGCTGGACTTACTGCATGGACATGGCTTCGTGTTTAGAAGCAACATCTGCACGCCTGCAAGTTACTTGGTGATGCCCCTCGTTGCTTGGCTTGGTGGTTTCCCTTACACTTAGGCAGTTAGCGTTCTCCCACTAGGAGGGGACAGTGTAGGCTGAGTCCCCGAAGAGCAGGGGCAGAGGACTTGCCCTGAGCCCATCCCCGGCGGAACCACTGCTGCTGGAAGTATCCGGTCTGCCCCATCCAGAGGCCCCCTCATTCCCCTCACGGTGCTGATCAGCGACCACTCATCCTGACCTGGGGCCTCTTTATGCCCAGGAAGTCTGCCTGGCACCTGGTTCATGCTCAGTAAACCTTGCTGAGTAAATGAACTGCACAAGTTTGTTTTCCGGAAGCATCTGCGGGTGTCTGAAGGGTGCCTGTACTGGGGACCGGGGAGAGTACCCTGAGCTGATCTAGGACTGGCAGAGGGTCCTGGGTTCTCTTCCCTGTGACACGGCCGGCAGACTAACCCAGCAGCAGAAAACACTAAGGTGGCCAGCGGGGCTCCCAGGAGAAGCTCGTCTTCCGGTCACTCTGAGGTCTGAAATGAAGATGGTGTCCACTGCTACTGGACCCTCGGACCACACCCCGGTGCAGAGCCCACAGAGCAATGGACAGCAGCTTCCTCGAAGTTCCATCCAGAGTCACAGTCAGGCCAGTGTACAGAGACTCTGAGAACGAGACAAACAGCAGATGGCCCAGGGGACAAGTCCCTGCTTACGTGTGGGCCGCGTGTCACCAGCAATTCACTCCTGCAGTGGGCAGCGGGCAGGGAGGACAGCGCCCCTGTGTGGGTGAACTCCCCACACAGACCTCAGGGTCCCAGCTTGGCCACTGAGCCAGCAGAGGGGAGGACGGCACAGGAGTGTGAATTCCACAGACTCGAGCGTGCCGAGTGGGCCCCGCTCACCCCCACGCCCGCCTGCCCCAGGGACAAGCGGCCCTCTCTCCACTCTGAAACTGCTTCAGGAACTCCAGCCATCCCACCCACTAGACACAGGAGGACCAAACACAGAAGAGAGGCTAGAATCAGAACGGAGTGCACACAGCATGCGCCCCAGACCACACTGTGTCCAGTCACGCACTGGCCTCCTGGCCAGTGGACCCGCTGAAGGGCAGAGCCTGGGGCTCAGTCCCAACCCTCACACGGTGCTTGGTGTGAAATAGGAGCCCAATGATCAGTGATCGTGCGTACGTAAATTTGTCCTGACACCTGGGGCGGAGGAGCCCGTGCCTTTGCTTCTGGTCTCCTGCAAGTATAGCAGGGCCAGGCCAACCTTCCCGGAGCCTGCACTGGACGAGTGCCCCAAGGATGGAAGGGTCACGGTGGATTTCCCTAGTCCAAAACCGCTCCGGTTCCCGGCCTTGGAGTCTCGGTGTGGGGAAACGCGGAGCCAGGGCCTCCTCCACCTGTCTGGCTCGGCAGCACCTAAGTGCTTCATGGCCACCAGGGAAGAGCCTGGCCAGGCTCCAGGAGCAGGTCTGGGCCCCGTTCTCAGCCTTGGTGAAGCCTGCGGCCCTGAGGGTGACACACAGGTGTGGGAGGAGCACGTGAGGGGGGAGGAGGGGAGGAGGGACACGCAGGCCCAGACGCAGAGCGCTTAGGGCACTCACAGCTTTGAGTGCCAGCTTCGGACCCCAGGACGGAGGCACAGGAGGGGCCGAGCAGCGGGCCTGGAGACCCCTCCCAAGGCCCTGCCCCGCTGAGCTGCTCAGGAGCCGGGGAAGTGGCACAGGCCACTGCGGGGCTCTTGTGCAGGATGTAGCAGTGGCTCCTGCAGGGCCACATGGCTCCCTGGCCTCCTCAGCCTGCCCGGCCAGCTCCTCCTGCTCAGGCTGTCGGCCTGGAACAGAGTGGGCAGTGGTGCCCATGAGTGCCTTGAGCCGCCCCTGTGTGGTGGGCCGCGGTGCACCCCCGCTGGGGGCCCAGGAAGAGAGGACATTGCTGGTGGGGTGGACATTGCTGTCACCCTGAACATCCTCTGTAGCGACAGACTCATCTGGCCAGAGAGCAAGGAGGAGCTCAGGGTGCCTGGCGAGGCAGCAGTTTCCTGGGCGCCACAAGGACACAGGGACTTCTTAGCCTCGGATGAGTCTCTGTGTGACTTGGAGCAGAGGCTGAACCTCCAAAGACAGACGCCTTCATCTGAAGGCAGGGCAGGACTGTGTAAGCCAGCCCAGCCCACGGAGCACCTGCGGGTCCAGAGAGTCCGTTTCTGAAGCACAACCTGGCTGTCCTTGGGTTAGGACAGGAGTTGCTCGAGGTCACCGGGAAATGAGCCCCAGAATGACCATTCTCCATGTCCAGTTTCACTGTAGTGTCCTCCACACTGCGTGGCTGTGGACGGAGTCCCCTGGGCCACAGCCGGGGACCCACCCTGCAACGCGAACCCTCAGGTGTCCAGCTGTCCTTTCTCACAGCTCAGAGGACCCTGCAGCCACTGCCCCCTCTTCCCCAGGACGATGCAAGGGTCAAACAAGGAGGCACAGACGCAGTGTTCCATGAAAGATGCGGGCTATAACAATGAACCTCAGCGCCGCCTCAGCAGAGCACAACATAAGCAAAACCTCAAGAAAACACATTCAAGGGAACATTACATTGTTAGCAAAGATAGAGTGATGAATTCGAAGATAAATTTTATTGCCCTTTTTGGCTTTTCTGTAGTTAACTGATTCCCTCCAATTTTCCCCCATGAGTGAGCTCATGTAGGAGGCTTTGTAAACTGTAAAGCTCCACACACCCCAGCAATGTGACTATGATCACCACCTCCCCTTAGGAAAATTCTGACGTGGGTCAGTAGCTGTGCTGTTTGGCTGTGGCTGCTCGGGCACAGCAGCCCAGAGCAGCCCCTTCCCACAGGGTGGAGCGTCTCCAGGGAACCCATGCTGCAGGGACCGAGGTCACTGCCCCCGCACCCTGTGCCCCAGCACAGGCTCCTGACAAGTAGGTCACCGAAACCAAAGAGATTTCTCCTGAGATTTGAGTGCATTTGCTAAACTGCTTCCTGGGCAGCCAGCTGAGGCAGGGTGCAGGCTCGTCCTGGGGAAGAGGGGGGCGTGTGAGAGGCCCCTGTGTTAAAGGCCCCATGACCTGTTTCCTTCCTTAGAGACTGCACCTGAGCACAGCAGGTGCCATCCGACCAGGTGAGGGAAGCTGCAGACCACACTGGTGAGCCCACATCCAGTACCGAGCTGGGGACGCGTAGTGGCCATCAGGGAGCTTATCTGGGAGTGCCAGCGCGAGAGCGAGGGAGCTGGTGCTTTTCCTGGAGTCTGACCTTTCTTGTCCACTGTGGCTGAGGGTGCCCAGCATGGGCTCAAGGGATGCTAGGGGGATCTCTGCTTCCCGGGTTCAGAGGCGGGTGGGTGCGTCCCCTGCCCTTAGAACTCGCTCTCTGAGCACCCTTCGGACAGTGCCCAGAGCAGGTTCACAGGCAGTGCCTGTGTGCCCATGTGTGCATGCACACGCACGTGTGTGTCCACACCACTCTCCCCTCGTCCTCTGGTCACAAGTATTCTCCGACCCACACGCCTGGCCCACTCACACCCACGCACACGCGCTCGCCCGCTTGTCTGTACGCACCCGGCTGGCACTGACAAACACAAAGCCAGAAGGGGAGGAGCAGCATGGCGTGGGCAGTTCCACGAGGTTTACCTTCTGACCGGGAAGACCCCAAGGCTCTCCTGCAGCTTGGAGAGGGAGGAGGGCGCTGAGCTGAGTCTCCTCCAGGCAAACTCCGGGTCCGCAGGAGCCAGGCCAGGGTGGGTGAGAAGGGCCACCGCCCTGCCCCACCCGCCCGACAGCCGACATCACGCTCACTCCAAACACTGCACCCGGTGACGTGAGGCCCCGCTCTTACTCGGCTTGACCCCGTCCCCAACTGTCCAGGCAGGAGAGGGTGGCAGAGCCGGGCTGCGGGACAGGGCTCACCCTCGCTGCTGTCCAGACACACAAGGAGGGCCTCCAGGCCTCAGAGAGCAGGAGGGAGGACAGGCTTGATGGACGCTGCAGTCCTCCCACACCCAGATCCGACTGTGGACACGGCCACCTTGAGCTGTCCCGTGCTCCTCACGGCACAGGCTGGTGGGTCCTGCCGGGGAAGTTGCCCTTACATAATCACAGTTCAGGGTGACACAAGCTCCGTGCATTGTCGGGAGTGAGTGCCGGGAGCCCAAGGCTGGGCCAGAGTTGCGGGCAGGTCTCCAGATGCCAGGTCCTGAGTGCGAAAGGCCCCGGGAAGGTCCTGGGCTGGAGTGGGGCTGTGCAGGAGAGGAGAAGGCACTGGAGAGAGGCCAGAGGAGGGGTAATGGCAGGGTGGAGTCCTGGCTCGGTCCTGCCCTGGAGACCGGGCAGCTGCTCCAGGATCGGCATGAGTTCCGCCCCGAGTCTTAGGGTGAGCAAGCGCCACAGTGACCCGTCAGACTGACCTGAAAAAGTAAACCCTTCCCTCAGGCCCTGGTGTGATGGCCGGGGTTAGACTGCTTGGACCGACCACCAGGGGGCGCCATGGGGACTTGAGCAGCCTTGTGGTGGCTTTTCCTACTTCCGCCCCCAATTTTCCGCTGTTCACAGCCCTTGGTGACCTCGGGCTATAACCCAGGTGTGAGGGAAGTGTGTCTGCAGGAGAAGTACACAGGGGCAGAGCCTTCTGGAAGATGAGGCCAGTGAGACCTCCGGGAGCTGGATCAGAGAGGGGCAGAGGGCGGTCCTGATTGTGATTTGCTTGCGGGAGGAGAGGAGCGGCCGGGTAGTTAATGGGCTTGTTTGGTGCTGCTTTCCAGTCCTGTAGCACTGGGAGAGCAGCAGTGTCAGGCCACACACAGGCCCTTGCTGCTGGGGTTTTTGTCCCTATGAGCATCTTCCCTCTACTGTCTGAAACTTCTCTGTCCAGTCACCGAAGAGCGCAGAGCTCCTGGTGGGTTATGTGTTTGTCTAGGCTCCATGATCTCTGGAGGAGCCTCATCTCCACCCGAGGGAGGTTTCTGCCCCTGGCGACCTCCCTTTGGAAGTTGGCCAGAACCACTAGGACATAAAGAGGGCGATGCTGTCTGGCCCCGTGACAGCTGTGGGTGGCAGTGCAGGGCCTCCCGGCCAAGCTGTGCTCAAACCACACCGCTGCCTGCAGCTCCAGAAGCAGCTATCGGAGCTGGACGAGGACGACCTGTGCTATGAGTTCCGGCGCGAGCGCTTCACCGTGCACCGCACACACCTGTACTTCCTGCACTACGAGCACGAGCCGGCCGCAGATGGCACCGACGTCACCCTGGTGGCCCAGCTATCCATGGACAGGTACGGGGTGGCCCTCTGCAGCCTCCCACAGCTGTGGCTGTCAGTCCTGGCCCGGAGTCTTGGAAGCTATTCCTGGGCGCCGCAGGGTAGACGGGCATCGAGACTCGTGGGGGAGCCCTGGCAACAGCCAAAGCTGGGGCAGGTGGCACAGGTGGTGCCATCGGCACCCAACTGCCATGGATGCCCTGAAGAACCGGGCCAGTTAACACTGCCAGCCTAGGCGGGGTCTTTCGGGAAGGCTGGTAGGCAGGGCAAGCTTCTCAGAGATGGGAATGTTTCCGTAGATACCTGGAGGACAGGAGGGGGTTAGGCATGTGAGTTGCTGAGAGAAGTATCTGCCGGGCTGGAATGAACTCACTGTGTAGCCCAGACTGGCCAGAACTCACAGCAATCCTCCTGCCTCAGCCTCCTGAGTGCTGGGATTACCCATGCCCCTCCCTGTCTCCCAGGCTCCAGATGCTTGAGGCCATCTGCAAGCACTGGGAGGGGCCCATCAGCCTGGCCCTGTACCTGTCCGATGCCGAGGCCCAGCAGTTCCTGCGCTATGCGCAGGGCTCCGAGGTGCTCATGGGCCGCCACAACGTGGGCTACCACATCGTGTACAAGGAGGGCCAGTTCTACCCCGTGAACCTACTGCGCAACGTGGCCATGAAGCACACCAGCACCCCCTACATGTTCCTGTCCGACATCGACTTCCTGCCCATGTACGGGCTCTATGAGTACCTCAGGTAAGGACCCCAGGGCCCCACACCAAGGCCAAGGATGCAGGGTCCCCAGTGCGCCCAGGCAGAGGCAGAGACGGCACCCCAGGTCAGGACGCTGTACAGGCGGATGGACGTTGTCATCACCCTGGAGGGGCCTGGCTTGTGTGGCAGACACACGTGGTCTGGGCAGGAAACCACTTCTAGACTCCCAGTCTCAAGTTCTTTCTGTAGCATCGGTGAAAATCTGCTGCCCCTTTCCAGTTTGGGGTCAGGCAGCCTTCATGTAGCTGTTCTAGAAAGATGGCATCTAGCCTCGAACACTGACATACGTCACTGTGAGGCCTGGCATTTGGTGAGCTGCTCGCTGAGTGCCAGCAGCCACCCTGGAGCTTGGCACATGGGATCCACAGCCCCTGCCCCAGGTCACGCTGGCGGCTTCCTCTTCCAGAGGGGAAATGCAGGGCGGAGCCGTCAGGAGCTTGGTCAGGACGCAGTGTCTGCCGCAGGGCCAGCCACAGGGCCACGTGCGGATGCAGCTGGAGGCAGGGCCGCAGGCTCCGTCCAGTATCCTTTCCAACACTCCCCTGCAGGACAGGGGCAGGCAGCAGACCCTGACAGAGGGCGGGATGCCCACAGGGAGTGGCAGCTGGCGCAGGATAAGTAAGCAGTGAGAGCCTGGAGCCCAGCCTGGGCCCCTCCCAGCAGGAGGAAAGGAGGTCACAGGCGTAAATGGCCCAGCAGCGCTTCCAGAGGCGCCCTGTGTCAGCTGGCGGTCGTTGGCACAAGTTGGCTCTGCCAAGGGAGATGGCTTGCGCATCTCAGACCAGTGGGCCACACACCCAGCCCCCAAAGCGGACACAGGTGGCATCCACTGTGGGCCCGCGGGGTCGGAGTCGGCCCAGAGAGGGCGCCGACCGCAGGTTCTCAGGCCGCCACCTCCCTGCCTGCCACCCGGCCTCTGTCCTGCAGGGCAGTCTGAGCGCACCTGCTGTCCACCCGCCCTCCTGACATGTGTCCACCTCCGCCCCTCGACACCATGCACACACCCACTGGACCTGTCCTGCAGAGCCAGGGAAGGTGGCTGCATTCTCAGCAGCTTCTGGGGCGTCCTGAGGCTGCTTAGTGGGGACCTGACCACGACGAGCAGGGAGGGGTCCCCAGCCTCAAAGAGAAGGCAGCCGGGCAGGTGGGAGCTGGGGTGCAGAGCCCTGTGCCCCTGATTCCGGGGCCAGTTAACGCAGCTGGAGCCCATTGTGTGGGGAGAGGGCGCCCCTGTGTGGCCATGTGGGACTCAGCACTGCAGCTCTGGAAGCCCTGCAGCTCTTCGCGCTGTTCCAGACCAAGCCAGGTGGCGGGCTGTGAATTCAGCTCAGCCTCGGTGCTTTGACGTTGGTCACTCAGTGGCTCCCAGACCCCAGCTGTCTCTGCAGACCCCACCTGGTGCCACCCAGCAGCCGGACCGCAGCGCCCCTTCCAAGCTCGCCCTGCTCAGGCAGAACTCAGCTGTCAGGTCTGCAAAGCTTGCACAGGAGACACAGCTGGATTTTCCCAGAAGTTTTTTTTAATATTAACAAATAACAAAATGAGGTTTTAATGCTCCTGAGCTGACAAGGCCACCCCCTGCCCCCCGCTGGCCCATGTTGTGGCCTTTCCCGGGCACCAGCAGGGATCATCCCATGGTAGAAGCCCGGTCTCTGGCTGGCCTGCCCGCGGTGGGCAGCCCCATGGCCCCGCCTGGGGCTCCAGAGGGCTGTGCTGCGTCAGGCTCATTCCCGACGCATGGGGCCCAAGTGCATGCAGCTCGCGACAGCACCTGCACTCTGGCTGGGACAGGGCTAAGGGTGCCACTCACCACAGTGACCGTGAAGCCCCACGAGGCCAGCAGACCCCCACCTGGACACTGACAGTCCAGCCCACCCACTCCCAGCACCGCTCCCTGCACCCTGCACCCTGCACCTCGCTCTGGGTGAGTCCTTTCTGCGGGAGACACTGAGGCCCGGAGAGGTTCAGTGGTGGTTAGAGGAGAATGGTCTCTTTCTACACAGCCTGCTCACCCCAGAAGCAGCCAGGTCATTTCAAACCCAGGACTCCCAGACCCTCTGATTTCACCCAGATACACTTCTCTCACCGTCTTGAGGTCCTCCTTGGTTTCCAAAATTTCAGCATCATAGCCCTTGAACAGTTGCTTAGCAACCAGCTAACATTACAGCAAAAACAAACAGTTCAGTTGGAAAATAATGACATCAGCTCTAGCACAGACCTAGCAGCAGAGTTTCACTGACACCCCGCACCCTCCTTATCCCGCATCTCCTGGAGAAGTGCGTGTGGACGTGCAGTGGCCCGTCCTGTCCTCAGAGGCATCTGGTGCAGTTCTCCAGGGTTGGCCGGCATCACACAAACCTGCATCTGGACACATCCGGGACACTTTCGGAGTGTGGGACTTTGGGAGCCTGCTCATCTCCCCAGCCTTCCCCACCTGGCCTCTTTAGGAAGGGGCTATGATGTCCTTCAAAGGTGAGCAGGTGCCCTCCACCCACTGAAGCACTTAGCCAGGTGTCTGCAGGGGCCTCTGGACGTCCACTCGGCGGTGAGATACACAGATGGTTCCTGCCTGTGAGGGCTCGGCCCCTGTGCTTTCACAGCCTGCGATGATACAGAGCAGTCGGCACCCAGTAGGGTGCACCTCCACTGTGACCTCTGCTCTCTTCCTGCCCGGCAGCATGCAGCGTGGTGCTGTGCCCAGGCTGCCCAGGCTCCGATCCCCAGGAGGAGCCCACTGTGGGCCGTGGCAGCACTGTGCTGGGTGCACTCACCTTGTCGCCATGTGGATGTGGATAAGAAGAGCCAGGACCCCGGCGAACAGCAGATGCCCGCTGTGGAGGCCGGGAGGGTTCCGGGGACCAGAAGCAGCAGTGTGACTGCAGTTCCCGGGGGATGGAGGACAAGTCCACATCCCTGAGCCAGGCAACTTCGGCCTCTGTCACCCGCAGAGTCCTCCCTCAGTCCATCTGCGTGGTGCTGCAGGAGACTCCGCTGCCCTCGCCGGCTGTTTTCTGGACCCCAGCGCCCCACGGCCCCCCAGCTGTGCAGATGCAGGGACGAAGAGTCGGCTGAGTGAGCACCACGGACTGCAGCTGCTTTCACTGTGCTTGTTCAGTTGTGCCCCAAAGCTCCTGCTTAGTTTCCTTCTCACCTCTACTCTGCCACAGTTCTCCTTCCACGTGTCCGCGCCATCGACTAAGACATCCAGTGCTGCTGGGCCCAGACACCCTGCTTCAGGGGCCAGCTCACTGCCCGCATTGCCACCCCTCCCTGGGTCCGTTTCTCATCTCCCTCACAGGTCCAGGCACCTGCTCTGTGTGAGCTCCACTGGAGGGCACCTGGAGGTGTGGATGCACACTCACCTGTGTCCCAGGTGCCATGCACAGCTCTGCATCAGCCTCAGGGGCTGACACACAGGCTCTCAGCGTCCTGACAGCAGCCCGGGGGGCTGAGGTGGTGCCTTGCCCACCCTGCTCAGGCAGCAGGGACACAGGTGGGTCCCTGAGTGTGACCAGCACCTGGGCTTGGAAAAGAGCAGGCGCCCAGTCAGAGCAGGACCTCATCACTGTTCTGGGAGATTCCCAAGCAAGGTACAGGCAGGAGAGGTCAGAGGGGTCTGCGGGTCTGATGTTGAGGGGACACTGCCAAGGCCCAGTCTGCAAAGTCCAGGTGGACGGGGATGTGTGAGACACGCGGGGGTAGTGCAGACAGGTGACCAGCAGGTAGGAGGGGTCCGCACCATCCCCATCCACATGGGGCCGGCCTCCTTCCTGGCTGCAAGCCTGGATCTGCTCCCTCGGGGTAGGGTCCGTGGCATGGGAGGCTGGAGCTTGCAGGCCACAGTGCCAGCCTCTCATCCCAGACCGCCTGCTGCCACCACCCAGGAGCTGGACACGCTGGTGGCTGCCGCTGCACAGCTGGCAAGACAGGCATGGGTCAGCCGGTCCCCAGCCTCATCCTCACCAACCTGATCTTCCCAGAGGCTCTGGGCTGGTGCTGGCTCTGTGCCACCATCACCAGGATGAGGACAGCGACCTGTGGACGGGCCTCTGGTGCCTCCTTCCTGGAGCACTGTGGCCGGCAGTCACAGCGGCAGTGAGCAAGGAAGAGGTGCATGGTGAGCGCCGGTGTTGAGCACACATACGCACCATTGCGTGCTGGTCACCTGCGGGCTGCACGCGCTCCAAGGAAACCAGCACTCCTGGTGCCAGAGCTGCAGATGCCTAAGACACCCTCCCTGAGCATTGAGCTGCTCTCCCACAGAGCTCGTGGCGATGCACTCAGCCAGAGACAGAATGCAGCGATCCCACTGGAGGACGGTGTTGCAGCCAGGCACATGTTGAGTGTAGACGTGGGCCTGTGAGCCGGTCACTCACCCATGCCCCTCCACATGCAGGACAGGAAAGGGGACGGTGTGCTCCTGACTGCAGCCAGCCTGCCCTGCTGGGCCTGTTGCTGCAGCGCCGGGGGATACATTGCCCTCCCCTGCACCCCTCGTGCCTCGGCAGGGCCTCTGGTGCTGTCTGGGTGCCTGTGATCGCAGGGACCATTAAGACCTCCCTACAGCCAGGCCCAGTGCCCGCTCACGCCTCACGACACACACACCCTCTGCACTTAGCACAGCCCTGCATGCGGGACGCATAGCCCTGGGGACAGACCTGCAGATGCCCGCACCCCCGAGCAGGGCTGGGAGTCAGTAGGGTACTCAGGAAAGCACTGCAGAAGGCAGAAGTTACCTTGGCAGCCCTGCTCCCTACAGAGCCCAGCAGTGTGGCCAAGTCCAGAGGCTGCAGATCTCTGGGTGCAGAGCGGCTTGCTTGGCAAGACTGGATGTCTCCCTAACAGGCCGGGCACGTGAGCCGGGAGCCGGTCCTCCACGTAGCTCAGAAGATGGGTCACCTGTGAGCAGGCCGCAAGAAGCTGCTGCTGGAGCAGCTGCGGAGCTCGGCCAGGGACCCCGTGTGCAGTGTGCGTGTGCACGTGTGCGTGTGCGCGTCTGTGTGATGTTCCGCTGTCCCATTCATCGTTCACCCCGCCATCTCCCACTGCTCGCACAGCCTCATTTCTCGGAATAATCGGCTACAGAGGAAGCCTTGGGCCCTGCAGTGTTTGGCACACGGGGACATTTATAGCAAGGTGTGCGGACCCTGGGTGGGCCCTGTGCCACCCCGTGTCTCATGGGCTGCCCAGGGCATGGTTGGCACTCAGGACTGTGGACTGAGGAGCAGGTGCCCCAACCTGGGCTCAGGGCATTGCTCTGTTGGTCTGGAATATTCTGTAGACCTCTCCGTCCGTCTGTGTCCCCCAGAAGCAGACTGGGCACACACCTTCCGTACCGAGAGGTGGCATCGTGGTTCAGATGGGTAGCATGAGGAGGAGCCGGGCTGGGCAGGAGGAGCCTCTCACTCCAGGCCCCATGTGGCTAAGCACAGCTCAGCACGTGTGCGCTGTCAGCCCTTATGCACATCCTCGGAAACCATGACACGTAGAGTGCATCACACGCACACGGCTAACTCAAGGAACAATACAGCATGACCCCTAAATGAGATCAGAGGGTTCCCCAGTGAACCCCATCCAACACTCAACAACCACCCCTTCCCGGGGAAAGCTGGCGAGGCCCAGTTACCCAGAGTACCGCGGAGAAGTGTCCTGAGTCTGTACGGGCCCAGTGCCCCGTCACCCACAGATGTCCAGCCCTGCTGGTGCTGTCTCCCTGCGGCCCTGCCCTGGCCCTCTCCAGGCGCCAGCTGGAAATGCTGTCAGGCGAGGTGACTGCAGTACAGCAGGCCTCGCCCAACTGCGGGCTGCTGGTTACAGGAGTACCGAGAGGACTTCTGGGGGAGCCAGGCTGCCCTCTGTCTCAGCTAGCAGGGTTAACGAAAGCCCTGCATGGTGCCCATCACGGGCCAGGCGTGCCCTGCGGCATTGGATCCCCTAGCTCGCAGCCACTCGCTCCAGGAGACAGATGTGGGTGCTGCCAGGCTCTAGGGAGGAGGAAACCAGGCAGCGAGCAGCCAACGTGGTTTGCCAAGGTGACGAGGCTCAGAAAGGGTGGCCAGGATCCAGAGCCAGGCTGTGTCCCTGCAAGGCATGGTGCCTGGCTGCCCTGAGCCTTCTCCCTTCCCCAGCCATGGCTGTGGAGATGGGGGATGCAGACAGAGCCTGGTATCCGAGGAGCAGAGCAGGGGAGGGGAGCTCGAAGCAGGCACCAGGCAGAGAACTCCGTGCCACCCCGTGTCCGCAGGTCCTGCTGTCCTGGCCAGGTGCAGGTCCTGGGCCCTTCACACGGCCGAGAATTGGGGGCTGTGACCATTGCTGAAGTCCGTCCAGACCCCATGTGGCCAGCAGTGCAGCGAGCAGAGCAGGAAGCCCGTGGGGCCCTCATCTGCACAGAGGGGCGCCCACCCCACTGCTCAGCACCTGAAGGGTCGGCGTCTGCTACTTCCTGCTGGGCTCCCCGCCTGGTCTGGGGGCTGCTGGCCTCACTGGCCCAGCCACCACCCCTGGAGAGCCCTGGTGGGCGGCACAGGGGCTCCACGTCCACCTGCCTCTCTTTCTAGGAAGTCCATCGTCCAGCTGGACCTCGCCAGCACCAAGAAAGCGATGATCGTCCCTGCATTCGAGACACTGCGCTACCGGCTTTCTTTCCCCAAGTCGAAGGCAGAGCTGCTGTCCATGCTGGACATGGGGACCCTGTTCACCTTCAGGTGAGTGGCCGCACCCCGTCCTGGGGCCCAGACGCCGAGGCGGTGCCCCCTGTGCAGCCTGTGACACAGGCTCAGGCCACACCGTCCTGGAGAGCCCTGCCCTGCCCTGCCATGGCCGGCAGGAGTAGTGCCCGTGGAAGGGCGGTGCTGGGCTCGCAGTGTGGCTTGCTTCTGTCAGCCGTGGGAGCTCGGGTGCTGCCTCCTGCACTGCATTCCCTGGAGGCTCCTTCCAGGAGCACCCTGGTGTCGCTTTCCTTTCTTGGGCATGATCGGTCTAGCCCTGCGGGCCTGGCCCAGTGGCAGATGGCTTCAGCCCCCACATCTTTTGGAGGTGACTGCAGTCTGCACACACTGCTTTTCTACCACTCAGGGACAATTGGCAGCGAAACCCGCATTTTCCCAGCTGCAGCCTGGGGGAGCTGCTCATGGGGTACACTGGCTCAGGCACCCCTGGGCCCCGGCTTCAGGGACAGGCGTGGCATTAAGGGAAGTGGGGCAGGTGAGCAGAAGCCCAGGAGATGTGAGGCTCTGCAGAGCAAGGCAGGAGCACTGGCTCGGCGGCCAAGCAATCCGAACGCATCCCCGCACGCGAACCACCAGAGGGACCTACGTGCAGCGCCACCTGCAGCTTGCACCACTGGACGGTCTGTCCCCTGCCACCCTGGCGGGGATGGGACACATTCAGTCAGAGCTACCTAGCAGTGAAACCATGTGGCCCCAGCCACGCCTCCCGCATTACAGGAAGCTGTTGCTGTGCGCTTACACACGCCAGGCCTTGTGCGTAGACATCTGATCCTTCCGTGGGACGGACGTGATGCAAGCATGGACAGAGACGCCAGGGTCTGAGGACAGACCCAGCTGGGCCTGAGGAGCCACCAGGCCTTGCCCACGGCCACCATGGGCTCCACAAGCCCGTCAGTGTGTGAAGAGACAGCGACAGTGTCACCCTCCGAACGCCTGGCAGGCTTCTGGGGTGTCACCGGGCAATCTCCGGCCCCGGCTGACCTGAGAGCCTGTCTCAAGGACATCTGGCCCACTGCGCCCATGATTACTGCTCCGTCCACCAGCTTGGGAGCCACCCCATGCCAAGTGCTAAATTACAGCCCTTGCCTCCAGGAACTGCTGCTGTCACCTGCTCTCCAAGTAATGAGCACTCAGGCCTGCGAGTGCTGAAACCTGCTCCCTGCCACACCTGGAATGAGAATTGCTTCTGCCCAGCCCCGGCTTCCGGGCCGCAGCCTGTCCTCAAAGCCTCAGGAACTGCTGTGGAAGCTCAAGCTTGCGAACCTCCCAAGCGGCCCTAGACCTTCTGCAGCACCGTACAGGGCGGAGCCAGGACCCCCTCCCCGCCAGCGCTGTACACACAGCGCAGCCAGGACCCCCTCCCCGCCAGCGCTGTTCTGAGGCTGCTGGTGCTGCAGGGCCTGACCCCTGGGCCCATGCGGGCCCGGAGCAGTGCACAGGCTGGAACCGGTCTCCTCGCCCTGACCCACCCCGCCCAGCTCTCTGCGCTGAGGCCTCCCCAGGCCGAGCGGATGGAAGCTGCCCCACACGGAGCAGAGGGACCCAGCGGCCTCGCAGCCCTGCTTCCCCTTCCCGTCGCAGAGGCTGGCAGACTTAGACTCCAGGACGGCAGGCAGTGGTCCTCGCCAGCAGGGGCACTGTGGCTCCGCATCATTCTGGAGGCAGCAAGACAGACTGAGGAATCCTCCTGCACTCTGAGGATGAAGCCACTTGCCAGCCCCCAGGAACGATCAGCAGTTCGCATCTTACCAGGAAGCCCTGGGCGCACAGGGTGCTGAAGGGCAGAAGTCAGGCGCGCTGCTTCCCGCGCCTCTGGCATCTCTGGGCACCTTCTGCGTGCTGCTCCCTAAGCACCCAGCAGATGGGCAGCCTGGTGCTGCTCTCCCGGGGGCGCCCGAGGCGGGAAAAGTCTGCAAGTGCTTTCCGCAGGGTCCTCCCCTGCCAAGTGGAGATGTGGGACTCTAACCCTGGCCCAGCGGCTCCATCGCTTGGGCTGCTGGACTCTGTCCAAGGTTCCACAGCCACGAACAGGCTCCGCGGTCTCACCACTTCTCCCCTCACTCCTCACATCCCTGCCGTCCCTCCCGCCGCACAGCTCTAAGAACGCGGGCGCGGGCAGCCCGGGAGCTGGGGGGACAGTCCCCACCGCTGTGCCAGCCTCCGCCAGGGCCGGGCCAGGCGGGGATTCGAGGTGCAGCCCTGGTGCCCTCGCCCCACCCCTGACGTGGACCCGCCTCTGGCTTTGCTCAGCTCTGCCCCACCGTCCCCGGCCTCTGTCACTCCCTAGCACTCATCTGCTCATCCGTCTGCAGCCTCATCTCAGCTGCGGCCTGGTAGGGGCAGTGACCCGCGGGGTGGGCCGAGGCCAGCAGCTTCTGCGCGTGTGTGCCCTGACCTGGGGATGAGAACTTAGAGCGCGTTGGCTGTGTGGCCGGAGCATGACGAGCCGGCGGTTGGCATCAGCTGCTCTTGCTGTTCTGTGCCCAACTTCGTTTTCTGTTGCCAAGAAACAAATTCAGGGTTGTGGCTTCTCCGCTCGGGGTCCGCTGGGCCAGAGTCTCCTCCACAGCAGGCTGCGTCTTCCTTACCTGCTGCCAGCCGACTTCTTTCCTTAAACTGTGCTGCATCCTGGCTCCGCTGGCCTCAGCATCCAGTATCCTAGCTCCCTGTTCTCTGCCCACAGCTTCCTTCCAGATCCACGGCCGAAGGTTCCGTGATCAGGCCAGGCCCACCTTGGTGGTCTCCCAAGTTTCCCTGATCAGCAGCCGCAGTTCTGTGTGCAGAAACCCTCTTGCACGCAGAGCGCTGTGAGTGGTGCCTAGGCAGCCTCCAGGAGGGGCGTCACAGAGGCTGGGGCTCCGAGGGGTCTGCATCTGCTCGCTGCCCTCACTGAGGGCAGAACATAAGCCTGGCAGTGCAGCACTGGTTTCCCGGCCTCATCCAGGAGTGGGACAGAATCCCGGTTCCCTTCCCACAGCCCACGGCTCTTCTCTGTGTGTCGCAGGTACCACGTCTGGACGAAAGGCCACGCACCCACCAACTTCGCCAAGTGGCGGACCGCCACCACGCCTTACCGGGTGGAGTGGGAGGCCGATTTCGAGCCGTATGTGGTCGTGAGACGGGACTGCCCTGAGTACGACCGGAGGTTTGTGGGCTTCGGCTGGAACAAGGTGGCTCACATCATGGAACTGGACGCGCAGGTAAGGAGCTCAGGCATCCCTCAGTGTGGGCTGAGGCTGAGAAGCCAGGACCACATGGGCTTGGGGACCTTGAGCAGGAAGGTGGCAGCACTGGTCCTGCGACTTTCTCCTGCCCTTGGGCCTGAGCTGGGGCCCTGGCCAGGCCCAGCCAAGTGTGTCTGTGACGTCGCTGGCCTCTGGGCATGGTGTGGACACCCACAATGCCCCTGACTGCTCCACCCTTTCTTAACAGAGCGGTGAAGTTTGGGCTTTCCTGAGCCACACGAACCTTCACTTGCTTTTGGAGCAAGTCATGTGGGTCCCAGGTTCTGCGAGCCTTTTCTGTGAAGATCCACGTGGCATCTGGGGCCTCAAGGGGCTTCTCTGCAAATGAGCTGGCTGTGTTCGGACAGCCTCACTCACAGACATACAGTGCCTCACGTGCTGTCGTCTGCCGGTCCCCGTGTTGAGCAAACGAAAGCACGGCCGACCTGGCCGCTGCCCGGAAGGGTACTGGTCCCTGGCCCACCGCTTTCCAAGGCACCCCTTCCTGCACACAGGGCTGTGGCTCTCACCAGAGCGCCCAGCACTGAGGTGCCTGGTGCTGGCCAGTGTGGGCCTCACCAGCATCTCTGCCGTGGTGGTGAGTGGTCCCAGGAGGTCGGGGACCACGCGGTGAGAACCAGGATGCAGGCAGTACCGGGTCTGTGTGAAGGAGAGAAAGCTTGGCCCTAGTGTCTGTGTTCCCCAAACACCTGGGAGGGCAGTGCCTGAGCCGCTGGGACAGCGGGTGTGGCATTTGTGTGTCCAGCAGGGTGCGCTGAGCTGGTTCCCAAAAGGGCAACTCTTCTGGCGCTGAGACCTTTGTTTCTAGACAGTGTCGTAGAAGTCTTGAAAATTGCTGCTTGTTTTCATTTCTTGGCCCATAGCACCTGTCATTTTACTCCTTCCGATGACCTGATGAGGCCCAGGACAGGTGGCCCAGCCACACCCACAGGAGCCATGGGGATGAGCGTCCCAGAGGGCTAAGCGCAGGGACTTCCTTCTCCCTTCTCCCTCAGTGGTCCCTGCCCCTGCAGTAGGGTGCCAGAAGCAGCCTTTCCTGTCCCCACCTCCTCACGTTTTTGTTCTCACCCTGTCTGGGCTGGGAAACAAGATGAGCAAAGGTCCCTCAGACGCTGTGTCCAGAGCAGAGTGGGGAGCTGGAGGACCCTGTGCCCAGAGACCGTGCCAGTGATGCGTCTGAGATTTGTGCTATGTTTTCGGCTCAGGGGCCGTTTGTGTTTGGTCTGAGGACTCTGCCACGTCCTGCCAGGTGAGGACACTGGTGACCTGATTTGTAACAGAGCAACCAAGAGGAGTTTTGCTTTTGATGAGCTTCTGCCTGATGGAGAGTTTACCTTTATTTTCTCCTTGTCCTTTTCGGCCCCTCCCAGCCCTGCCTGGGGCGGCTGTGCAGCCCCGTGAGCAGGCAACAGTTAAGGGCCAGCAGTCGTCCTATGGCCACGTCACCGAGTGACAGGAAACCCAGGCTCGACTCAGCCTGGTGTCGGTGCAGGGTCATGGAAACAGCCCTGAGCTCCCCCTCCCGGCATGGCCGGGCCCTGGCCGGGCCTCACTGTGCTCTGTCTGCTTGCAGGAGTACGAGTTCACCGTGCTGCCTAACGCCTACATGATCCACATGCCCCACGCCCCCAGCTTCGACATCACCAAGTTCCGCTCCAACAAGCAATACCGCGTGTGTCTCAAGACCCTCAAGGAAGAGTTCCAGCAGGACATGTCCCGCCGCCACGGCTTTGCCGCCCTGAAATATCTCACGGCCGAGAACAACAGCTAGCGCAGAGAAGCCACCGCCAGAGACAGACACACCGCAGGGCCACAAGGCCTAGCCACCCGCTCGCCGCCGCCAGGCCCCGCCTTCCAGGTCAAACCCGAGCAGCGCTTCTTTGGTTTTTCTTTGTCTGTTTGGCCCCACCTGCTGCTGCCACCATGGAGATCGGACCAGGGTCCAGCCTCTCTCTCTCTGCAGCCCCGTGTAGGGAGGGAGCCCAGCAGCATGAGGCGCCACGAGAAAGGGACACGGAAGGGGGAGCGAGGAGGGCACCACGGAGCACAGACCCAGGCAGGGCATGTGGAAGACTGTGGGTCCACCCTGGGGGGTGGCGGAGTGCTTGGCTGGGCACCCCAGGAAATCAGGGTGAGGCGTGGCTTCACCACGGAAACGCTCCTCTGTGCCTGTGGCACAGCTGGGGTCCAGGGGCGGCGGCCACGGGGGTGACACAGCCTCTGGAAAAGCCCATGGGGACGTGGCAGCCCTCTGCGGGGACCTGGAGTAGGGTTGGTTGGTTCTTTACCCTCGAAGTCACCCTTGTTTTGTTTTGATTTGTTTTAGCTTGGGGGATTTTGTTTTATTTTCGGTCTGGGAATCCAAAATGGAAAATCTGGCCCTTGATGGCTCTAGAGGAAAATCCGCTGCCTCCACCAATGCCCCTCCGCCCGCTGTGGCACAAGGAGGATGGGTTCCAGCAGATGTTCAGACTCGAGAAGCTTCATCCAGGGCCAGTGCCGGGGCCCCAGAATCAGAATCCCCTGTGCTGACAGGGTTGGGGCCCAGAAACAGTGACCCACCCTCTGGAGGGGCGTGAGAGCTCAGTCGGCACTCACAGGGCCGCGTGGGGCCGCAAGCACCGCTGGGAGGAGGTTCTGGCCTCCGTCTCGGGGACCTCTCCGTGGCCACACCGAGGAGACACTGGACTTCTACTGTCCCTTCACTTCATTGTTAATGTCGTGTTTACATGATGCGAGCAGAGTCGGTGCCCTCCTCTGCGGGGCTGTCTGTATCGAGTTGCCGTGTGACCAGCGAAAGCTGCATTCAATAAACGGAAGTTCAGACTGGTTCCCTCCCGTCCGCACCACTCTTCTTTGGTGCTAGGGATGGAACCACTTCACCCTGAGCTACACCCAGCCCTATTTTCTAGTTTGTATTTTGAGACAAGGACCCGCTGCATTGCCCAGGCTGGGCTCAAACATGTAGTTCTCCTGCCTCGGCCTCCCAGTGTGCTGGATGACAGGAGTGCAGCCTCCCCTTCACATCAGAAGTTGCTGGACACCCCTTGGCATGGGCAAAATCTGAATCCATAGCAGTAGCTCCCTACTTTCTGTTGTCCTGGGTTGTTTCTCATCCACTTTCCCTCCTTGCTGAAGACCCCCTCTTGCTTTATCCTCTCACCCTCAAGCATTTTCTGATTTTCTGTGTAGCTTCCTCTCCAGAGGTGTCATTGTACCAGATGTGTACCCAGGGGCCTTTTGATGCACTAGCTGCACGGGGCTCCGCGGTCGGCGTGGCCCGATCCCACCCTGCCATGGGCCCAGCACAAGTGTTTCCTCTGAGATGTGCACAAGACGTAGAAAGTTTGCAATGGGACTAACCCTTGCACAGGTGCAGATAAGTCCTTGGTGATGCCTGGACGGCAGGGCCCCCAGAACCCACTGCATGTCTCCCCAGTCCCACGCCCTGCAACCCCCAACCCGAGACCTGGTTGTGAGATTCACCAGCCACACACCACTGCCTTCCCTCGCCCCTGTGTGCGCACGCGTGTATACACACACACACACACACACACACACACACACACTCCTGCAGACGCCCATATTAGTCCACGTATTCGGAATGAGTCATTACCAGCTACTTCAGCCAGCTTGAAAACCAGCTGGTAGCACTGATTCCTCCGTGTTAAAAAATCTATTTTGAATTCCCTGAAGCCTTTTTAAAAATTGCCCTGGTGCCCGAACCAAGCCCATCTACCTGGCTCCCTTTCGCATGTCTGTGGCCCCTCGGGTGACGTGTAATTTGTCAACACACTGGCCACTCCTGAGAATGAACGAAGGCGCTGATTACTTTGGCACAATAGGTTATAAAACCATGTGGCTTCCTGAACAGAGAGTTCCTGACAGCAGAAACTCGCTGCACACAGCGAGAGAGGGCCCTGGGTCCCTGGGAGCAGGTGCCTTAGGCTCACAGCCCGACCAGCCAGGTGATGGCACAGGGCGAAGACTGCGCTGTGTCAGCTCCTGGGCGAGACCGGCTCGGAGCAGTCACACTGCGGTCTTCAAGCTTAACCACCCTCCTGCCATCTCGGCTTCCTGCTGAGAGGAGCAGCAGGGTCTCTTCGAGGCCCCACAACAGTCAAGTCCAGGAGAAACCAGTCGCTGGGTCACTCGGTGCAGCCGGGCTTCCCGTGCATCTGCTCAGGGCCACATGGGTGCCGAGGTGGACACCCATGTCCACAGTCCGTGTGCAGAGCCTGGGCAAACACCCACTGCTCTTGCTTGAGTCGGAAGCCACAGGAGCCCCCATAGCGCTCCCACCTGATGGTAAGGACTCAGGTGTGGCATAGCTGCAAGCAGGAGGAGCTGACCCCATGGGGGTGCTGGTTTCCAGTCTTCCTCGCAACACCCACAATCACAGTCGCCACGCATCCCCTTCCTCTGCACCCAACCTGCTGCTCTCCTGCTTTCCTGGAAACCCTCGTGGACTCCAGCCAGGAAGTCTAACGCGTTCAGACGGCTTGGATCGGATCCAGGGGAAGCGGCAGACTCCCGAAGCCCCTCCTGCCTTGCTTCCGAGAGGTCTCAGTACAGGCTGAGCCTCACAGCCTCCAATGCTGGCCTTGCCCACCTCTGCCGCCCGCTTCAAAGCCTCTCCCAAGTATCCCCGGCTCGAAGCGCACATACTGGTGGCGCTGACTAATGGCTTCTTTGTGCCCCACCATGAAAGCACAGACCCCACTTTAATGGTGTTCCTTTCAAAGACTCCACTGTCTTTGAGTTAAGGCTCCATTTGTGGTCGCCAGGCCTTGGTGCCCGGTGTTCTTGGGGGAGGTGTGACTGAAATCCCCACTCAGCCGCTCCCTGTGCCCTCCGGGTGGACGGAGAGCACTGCCGTGCACAGAGCCAAGGCGGCCTGGTACTTGTCCCGTGGGGCCCCACAGCCATCCAGTAAAGCAAGAAAGGTTCATTGCCCCCTGACTGCACAATAATATAAAGGACTTCTGGATGCCTCCTCCTGCCTCAGCCTCCCAAGTGCTGGGATTCTAGGCGTGTGCCGCCATACCAGCACTCAGTGGCATTTTTTAAGTATATAGTTCAGTAGTTTTGTTACTTGAGTGCTTTGAATGAAAAAACAGTCTCACGTATACTGAGAAGTGCTTTGAAAAAGGTGAGGATGATAAAAACATCCTGGACTGACTCGGCGTACATCATGTGACAGTTCTGTGGCGGGCGGTGTTACAGAAGCCGGCTGCAGAAGGTTCACCGGTGATGTGTGCACTGCAGGGACGTTTACAGCAACTTCTAAGCCACACTCTTTAACTGCAACGCTCTGTGTGCTCAGAGAGAGTCTATCATGTGGGTATAAATGTGAACCTTTACCTTTTTTTTTAGCTCCTCATCTGACCTACAAGGTAAAAGTAAAACAGCAGCATAGGGATCCTTGCACTGGGGTAGCTCAGCGGGTTGGACCCCTGGCACCGTAAAGGCAATAAATGAATAAGTAAATAAAAACTCTTGACTCCCCAACTCCCCGACGCCTGTGCCCCCACTTGCAGGTGTGTCTGCAGCTGTGAGAGGCCTCCTCATGGTTCAGCAGAGCAGAGATGAGGGCTCTCTTCCCTGCGTGACTGCTAAGATCCACGTTTAACTCTGGACCTCTAGAGGATCAGAAATGTCCTCTGCCCAGGCGAGAACAAGCAGCCCTCCGCCACACACCAGGGCCACACCTGCAGCATGAGCACAGAGGCTGAGCGCTCCCTGGCTTGCGTAAGGGCCACCAGAAGCTGCTGAACGTTCTGTCTTCTCAGCTTCGGGCTGTGCACCCCACAGGCTCACCGCGCTCACGTGCCCGAGCCCCAGTTCCTGTGAGGGGCCGTGGTCTGCAGCCAAGTTCTGCTTCTGGGCAACTTGTAGTAAACCAGAGGTGGTTCTGGCCCAGGAGCTCGCCAGCTTCGGGGATGTGAATGTAACCGTGTCCAGTGTAGCAGCAGGAGCCTGGCGGAGGCCACCGCCTCAGTCCTGCCCTCTACAGCGATGCTGCAGGGACACCAGCACCTCCAGAGCCACCTGGCCAGCATGGCAGAGCTCCTCGGTGCTCACCGTTCTCGCTCTGTGCCTACAGGAATCCCGCACGCCCTGGAGTCTGGAAATGACCGTGGAATCCCAGCTCCAGGAGGCAGAGTCACTTGGGCAGCCAGGCAGCAGCCGTATCTGACTGCAGGCCCAGCCGCCCAGCATTGGTGGGTACAGGTGATGTGAGTCGGGGGGCAGAGCATGGGGTCCCTCTCCCCTCCCGCTGCGGCTCCATGACCCTGGTGAGGACCGGCCCAGAAGGGAGGATAGGACCCAACACAGCCCGATGTAACCGTCCGCTCGTCTTGCCCCAGGGGAAGGATGCCCGGGTACCGTCTTAGACCCAGACACAGCATCTCAGGCGGCTGAGCTGGGGACCCTGGACGCCAAGACCAGCCAGGCCAGTCCCAGCTGCCTGATGCCCAGCGGCTCAGATTAGCACCAGAAGACAGAGTCTGCTCTGAGGGGACGGAAGCAGGCGGAAGCAGCCTTGCTGGCCAGAGCTGTTCTTCCCCCAGCCTACAGAGCACTCTCAGGCTTTCACAGCATCCGAGTCCCTGGCAGGCCGCCCGAGGTCCTGTGCTCCTCGCAGGCACTGGGGTGCAGAGAGCCCCATCCATGCGCCGCAGTCCTCCGCTCCCCGACCCCCTGGCAGCCACCAATCGCCACGTCTCCACGGGGCCCGGGTCATGGCTGGTAGCCTCACTGAACGCTGTATAAAACCCGTCTAAGCACGTGATGGGGCTGTTTTAAAAAGCAGCTGCTGGGGTTCAGGAACAGTGCCAGGTGGCAGTGACTCCAAAAAGAGTGAGGCATAGTCCCTGCTGTCACGGGAAGACAGATGGGCACATGGGCAGCAGCACCAGGTCACCGAGGCAGAGGGACCCGGGGAGAGCTGGACTCCAAGGAAGAGGCCCTCGGTCCAGACGGCCGAGGCAGATGGCGCCTAAGAGAAGACATTGTTCTGACAGCGCTAAACCAGTACAGAAGAGGGATCGAGATGTCGCTGCAGAAGCCAGGACCCTGGCGCCGGGAGGAGAGGTGGGGCTGCAGTGGAAATAGCACGGGACTCGGGATTTAGAGGCACAAGCAGTAAACTGCGGGGAAGTGGAAAATCAGCAAGAGAGGCCAGCCAGGGTGGGGAGCTTCTAGGATTTTGCCCCAGATTTACTTATTTTATGTGGACAGATAAAAATGGACACACGCAGCAGGTGAGGCGCAGTGCGCATGCGCTATGTCTGCGAGCGCCACGGCGGAACCGAGTCTTAAGTCTGGGTGACTGCAGTGCGCCGGCCCCACAGAGGCAGGATTTCCGCAGTGGGGCGCGCTCGGCATCAACTCACTTCACGCTTATTTATTTGATCGTTTGTTTGTATTTTGAGACGAAGTCTTACTGAGTTGCCCAGGTCGGCCTCCAACTTGCAATTTTCCCGAAGAGCTGGATTCCAGGCTGTGCCTCAGCCCGGCTGCCGCTGTGTTTTAAGAACATTGTGTCACTGCTGACCACCGTCAGCGTGGCCATCATAGGTCCTTGGAGGTCCACCACTGGCCGGCACACCAAAGGCAGAGAGGAACTCCCGGATGGCCAGCCGCCCTTGGCCAGGGTGCAAGGCGGGGCACCTGTCCAGCTCAGGGGAGCCCAGCTTGGCTGGGTGAGCGCAGACTGTGCTACTCCCGAAGGGCCAACCCTCGGCCCAGAAGGTGAGCCTGGCGGCAGTCCCCCACCTCACCTGGAGAGCCCTGAACTGGGCTGGCCCCTCTCGCCCGGATGTAGGCCGACTTCCCCATGCATGGTCACAGTTAGATCGCTGCACCTTGGCACCAAGAGCCCTCACAGTCAGGATTTAATGTAATCAGTCAACAGACGGTTCCTCCAGCTGACACCCGGTCTCCAGGCCTGGCAGGAGGAGGAGGCTGGGCCTGGGTCTGTGAGCTCAGGCTCTGCTCCTTTCCCATTTGGCATATTTGGGCCCTTGAGCTACGACCAGCCTGATACACAAACAAAGTGGGTTATGTCCAGAGCTTTAGTTTTAACTTATGACCAATCTTGAGTTACGACCCAAATGCTGGCAGCTTGTGCTTCCAGATGGTCTCAAATACAGACTTCACCCAGAGTTCTGGAAGGAACATGACAGCATCCTTTCCTGTGTGGGGCTGATTGAGAAATCTTGGGCCGGTGTCTCTCTAAGGACACTGAGCTCTGTCCATGTGCAGGAGAGAGACTGAAGGCTGTGCAGAGGAGCCAGAGCCTTCATTGACCAACTTGCTTTTCCTGTCTGGTGTAGAGAAGCCAAAGACGAGGCTGAGCATTCTGCAGCTGGAGAACAGAGAAGCAGAAGTCTGTCCCAGATCAGCAGCTCAGCCCTAGGCAGCTGGAAGTCCCATGGGGGAGGACGGGAGGGAAGGGAGCTTCTAGGACCTCGGCTCCTTTTGCTGCTTCTGTGTGACTTCTGGCAGTCATCTGGCCTCTTGGGTTTTTAACTGTGGTTCTTCCTGGGGCTCCAGCCCTCACTCACACACCACACGCATCACCCCATCTGCCTCCCAGAACAGTGGCGGCTTGGGCTTAAGCTGGTGTCACACACCATGACCCTCGTGCACCAGTCACACGTTAAGAGGAAGAGCTGGGGCTCGAACTTGGGCTGACCCCTGTCCGGTGCTCTCGGGCACGGAGATGAGCCCTTGAGGAGAACAGGCCCAGGCTGTGATCTACATGAGCTGAGGGATCCTCACCCGCCCTGGAGACAGAGCCACGGTCCTCTGTGCTACAGATGAGGGAGGAGGTGGGGGGGCTGAGGCAGAAGGGCTCAGCGTCTTTGCAGCTGGTAAGGGATCCGGCAGGGTGAGGGCACCTCACTCGGCTCCCTGGTGCACACCTGTCCACCTGCCATGGGCACCACAGGGTTCAAGAGGCGTCTCTCAGAGGACAGCAAGAGTTGGAGGAAGGTGTGTGTAAGGGTAGGTTCATTGTGCATGCACGAGGCCAGCAGATGGCAAGGAGGCTGGGGGGAGAAGTTCGTGCCTCACAGTTCCTGTGACAGTTAAGCTTGTTTGTGCCAACCAGATTGGCTTGGGGCCACCGGGGGGGGGCACACTCTTGGGTGGGTCTGGGAGGTCAGGGAGGTGTCTCCTTGGGGTTTATATCTGATCCCTGGCCTTTTCCTCTTGACACTGTCCCTGCTCTGTTCCCCAGCCTCCATGAACTGATCCTTTTTGCTCCACCACAGCCTTCTGCCATATTGTTTCTGCCTCGGAGCCAGGCAGCCATGCACTGAATCCCCTAAAACCACAAGCCAAACTAAACCTCTCCTGAGTTGTGGGGGTCGAATGTTGTGTTCCACAGTTCCAACTGTGACTGATACAGTTCTAAGAAGAGGGACACCCCCCCACACACAGGGCCTGTGAAGGGGCAGAGAGTGCAGGAGGAGAATGTAGGCCAGACTTTCTGTGGTTTCTGAGCTGGCAGGGCAGGGCACGCAGGCCAGATGGGTGGGTTGGGATAACTTCCAGGGCCCTGAGTGTCAGGGACATGGCCAGCCATGAGGTACCCAGCCCTTGGACGATGAGAGTGGGAATGGGGCCTGGAGTCAGAGCTTGAAAGAGGCTGGGGACCTCTGAGGTTTGGGCCACCTCACTGCCCATCGAAGGCGGCTGGCCAACCCTGGGTTCTCCAGGCTCAGCAGTGCCCAGGGTGTCAGCGCATCAGGACACACCCGTACGGAAGAGCAGCACTCAGCCAGGCAAACAAGCACCTCACAACCCTCCCAGCATGTCAGGTAGCCACGCCTCTGGGACGGGAGACTCCTCGGTGACCCTCGTGGACCAGTCAGGGTCCTTATCCTCAGTACCCTCACCACAGGTAAGTGCAGATCAAATGGGGCACTAATGGTAACTTCATGAGATTAATCAGAATAAACTGTCACTCCTGAATCAGCAGTGTCACGACATCACTGAGGAGAAAGTGCAGGGGAAGTCATGTGTGTGGGGGCGTGTCCCACAGGCACATGCCCGGATCATACCACAAATCCAGTTCACAGAGAAAGGAGCCACTGGACTACTCAGCTCCCAGAGAAGTGCGACCAGCCAAGGGGCTGCAGGAACTCTTTTTCCATTTGTTGTCACCTTCCAAGGTCTCCTGCATACACACAAGCAAATCTACCTTCTCTACCATCTGTGCCTAACGATTTGTCAGGACAGTTTCTCACCATGGTGTGTGCTCTGGCCTCGGGCCTCTCTCTCCAAGAACCCTGCACCCCTGCACTCCCGACTCCCACCCTATTTCAGGCAGAGCTGAGATCTCCCAGCTCCTTCACCACGCCTCCCGCTCATTCCTGACCCCCAGCGCAGGTCAAAGCCCGGCCCTCCGACTGCCTGATTCCTGGAGTTCTGCACCTTGGTCTGCACTAATTGCTCCAGGGAACGCAACCTTCCTACTAGGTGTGAGCACGGGAGGGAGGAGAGGACGGAGCTGCTGTACCTCCCGGTGGCCCTAGTTGATGACCTGAGTCCTACCTGGGCACTTGTTACGGGAGGGGGGTTCTCCTCCCAGGCCCTTCTGTGAGGCTGCGGAGCCGTTCATTACCCCAGCCTCCTTCCCTTGGGAAGACATTTCTGAAGCTGCTGAGCTTCAAGGCTGTTCAGGGGCATCCTGTGCCCTGTCAGGACAGGTGTGACTCCTTCATTTCCTCCATGGCCCACAGGGAAGGGGCTTCTTGAAGACTTGGAATCCAGTTCTCCACCTTCCTTTCCAGGGCCCTCCACTGTGTGGTTCAGCACACAGCACCAGCTTCGCGGTAACCCAGATTTTCCATTCTGTCTCTAGCCCTTCCCAGCAGTGAGATTGGCACAGGTTCTCACTCAGACTCCCCAAGCCACGTCTGCAAAGCCTGCTCGGAGGTGCACGTTAGCGGACGTCACACGTGCTGTGTGAAGACTTCATGAAGACACAGAAGCGTCTTTAGCCGATCAGGCTCCATGACCCAGGAATCCAGGAGGAATACTGAGGTGGTATGAATTCTGCCATCACACCTGCAGAGTGGCAGCTCGTTCTCAGGTCTCCGTTCGAGGGAAGCATGTTAGGGGCACTCCCAGGTGAATATTCTCCACTTAGTAGTCATACTTTCAGCATGACTTAAGGTCAGGAGGAGGGTGTCTGGGGTACTGACGTGCCCACGGCAGCACAGCGCAAGGGAGCCGAACTCACATGCGTCTTCAGCCCCCTTGGGGGTGATTTGGAAGCCGCCCAGCAGAGGGACAGCACTGGCCATTGCAGGGCTGGGAAGAGGACAGCCTGGCGCTCAGGCTGGCCCCGGTTCTCAGAGAGTAAGTGGCAAGGCAGGGGTTCTGACTCCACACTTGCGGGGTGAGGCTCCCTGTTCCTCCCAGCTGCTGCTCCCCAGAGCTGAGCTGCACTTGGCTTTAAGTCAATCAGCTCAGAGGAGTTGGACCTGGGTATAGTCTGGGTAACAAAGACACCCTCGCAGGTGCTCTTCACAGAGGGCCCGAGAGCCTCAGGGTGTAAATTATGTGTAAAGCCACAGGGAGATAGCAGGGCGCAGCGGTCTCCAGGTAGGGGACTGCACAGGAGGAGATGCAGCAGACGAACTCTGTGAGCCAATCTGATTCTGTCCCTCGAGTCACGGTGTTCCATGTAGCTTCTCAAGCTTTCGTCCCTTCCCTCTTCTCTCTTGCTTTTGGACTTTTCCTCTTGTCTGCCTGTGCCTCAAGCTGACATGTCCTGAAACAATCTTCCGGGATGAGAATCCATGAGCCTACCTTGCAGGGCTGGGAGGCAGGTTGAGTTCCCTCCTCCTCCTTGGGGAACTCTCAGGTCCGGTCCAGTGACAGTTCTACAATTGGTAGGGAAGGTCTGTGACTGCAGCTTTCCTTTTCTGTGCTCCACTCCCACCAGAAACAACCAGAGGAAGCCAAGCACACTGTCCAGATGAAACACCTCTTCTCCAGGTAGCCGGACCCCCAGCTTCCCCACGACAACAACCTCCAAGCAGACCACCCTTCAATTTGCTCCTCTTTTTACTCTAAGCTTTCCTGTTCCTCTGCCTGTCCTGGAGTCTCTGCCAAATGCAAGAGATGGTGGCTGACTCGCTCAGCAGCTCTAAAGACATCGTACCTGTTTGTTCCCATCTGAGAGGCTTCCATTTCCACACATCTCATTGGCTAAAGCCAATCATATAACCAAACCTGTCTCAAAGGAAGCTGGGAAATACAGTCTTTCACATTGCTGGCCAGGTAGGAACTTAACATTCTTTTATCAAAAAAGCAGAGAAGCATGTATCAGTCAGCACTTAGCAGAGAAAATGGATTTTAATACAAGATATGTAAATATAAGAGAAGTCACAAGATTGGGTTACAATGGCTGCCTTCAGAGTTGGGTGTGGAAGAGCGCAGAAAGTCTGTCTGCTCCCTGGAGACCCAAAGGATCCAGTCAAAGCCGGGAGCTCAGCATGGTATCCTGTGTGAGGCTGTATCAGCAGGCTGAAGGGTCTCTGGTGGAAGTGTGAAGCCAGGAGATGACATCCAAGGTGAGGGCAAAGACTGGGCCTCTTCCAAAGAAAGAGAAGCAGCCTTCCTTCTTTGCTTCCCCTTTATACCATCTGGGGACAGCCCTTCCTGGGTGGGTCTTGCACACCGGAGCTGTGCGGAGCCAGTTTAGTTGGGTGTTTCTCACTCCAGGTGGCATGATCAGTCAGCATCCCAGAGCCAAAGTTGGAAGCAGCTGGTGTTGTCGCTCCTGCCATGCCCCAGGCTTGGGGGCCTCTGGGGACACATAGGAGAAAGTTTTCTCTTTTCAGACCCTCAGGGCAGCCCCCCACCATTGTGGGCAGCTTTTCGCCCTCTTGAACACCCAGAGCTACTCTTCAGCTTCTGCAGGGATTTTGGAGGGGAAAAGATAATAAAAGTAACTTGTACATATTAGTTCCCTTACGCTATGATGGTAAGTGTTCTAAGAACTTTGCATCTTTCATCAGTCTATCCCAACTACCCTATGAAATAAACACCTTTACCTCTCTTTTACAGGTGAGGGCACAGAGAGGTTAGGTAGTTTGCGCAAGGTGTCCCAGACAGTAAATGGCACGAGAGGATTCTCCTGAACAGGTAGCCTGGCTAGAGGATGTCTAACCACAGCCCACACTGCTTGCCCACAGTGTCCTCACACAGCCTCCACCTTCAGAAGCTCTGTGATACAGGAGTCAGGACAACAGCAAGGCCTGGATCATCCTGTATGACTTGCTGGGACCAAGAACCACCGGGAGCTCCTGTCCTTGGCTTCACTGGACACCAGAAACAGCTGTCCATTCTGTCATCAACCCACATGTCACGTCCAGTGACACCCAGGTCACAGCTGTGAGCTCATAATCCACCCAGATGACCCCACACTGAGGACAAACTGTCTCTGTTCCAAGTGCTGAGCGAGAGTGTCTGGTTCTCCCATTCCTGAGACCAAGCAACCTGGCCAAAGAGCGTGACCGTGCAGCACAAGCCCTAAATGGGTATGAGGGCTCCCCAAAACCAGCGACCTCCAAATGTGTTTCCTAGGCTCTGCTCCTCAATACAAATACTGTATAAGTACAAAATAAAGAAGGAACTCTTAGCCAAAAAATAACGATAATTATATAGACACCAAGAAAGTTGCCAGGAAGAACAGACACTGACCGGGTTGTAAATAATTCTGCTGAGGACACCAAGAAAGGCACAGTTCTCAGGGCACATGTAGGAATGGTAACGCACAGAGAGAAAATTAGAGGACTCGGTTCTTGGCTTGCTTCACTGCCAAGGGGAATGATTCCTAATTACAAATGGCAGAAAAGCTATAGTTCAGAAGACAGTTCTCCCAAGATAAAAGATAAAATAAGAGAGCATTTAATATACTTAAACAAATTCTTACTCCCAGGACCAGAATAATTGTGTCTTTAAGGCGCGCAGATGCTGATGGAGGCAACACCGATACTCGTTATGGGATGAGGGAGGAGACGCAGGCAGGAGGATCCAGGAAAGGTAAATATTGATCTGTTTTACCAGCAAGGTAAATAGAGGGATTCGAGAAATGTATAATGAGTTTGAAATCAGAGCAAGGGAAAAACAAACTGAAGAAATCACCATTAAAAAGATGCTTTGTAAATATTTATAACTCAAAGGTAATTACTAAGAGTTATCAAAGGTTTATGTGATTAATTAATGTATTCATTCCTCACAGTACTCATCGAGAATGCAGTATAGGCCAGACACAAGGACGACGGAAAGATAAGGTTTACCTTTACCATCAGTAAGGTAGCATTTGCTAGCAAACATCAGTGTACACCTAGCCTCACTCTGTGTCCTGGTACTTTTGCTAGTTGTGTGAACACAGAAATGTGTTTCCAGCAAGCCCTTTGGATGGCTCCAGTAGCTCATGAGCGAGACAGGTACGGTACCTTCTGGCAGGCAGTGTTACATGTTTCGTACCTGTTAAATCACCGTAGGCAGCGGCAGGTGACGTATTGTCAGTCTCGCCATGACGGGGCTTCTCCGAGGCTCGGGGATATTGCTTCCAGATGGTGAGAAGGAGTGGGCAGAAAGACTTCAAATCCCCACAGCAGGTGGGCAGCAGGGAAGGAGCCTGATCTGGTAACAGACATATTGGTCAGAGGAGCAGAATCAACAGAAAAAAAAAAGTATATATATATATAT